GGAGAACCCTAAGAAGGAGGCTCACATCAGCACGATAACCTCAGAAAATGATTAGGGCGAGCTCATCAGCATTCATCAGCTGACTGGTAAAGGTGCTGCCAGTTGTTCTGCCAACTGACGGCACAAACAGGACTCTGACTGGCGGGCTGCAAATAGCACGGCAAGCCGCTTAACAAGCGCTCGGGTGGGGCTCAATTTGACCCCGAAATTTTTTCCAGAATTGTTTCCGAACGGTGAGATGAAACTGCTCCAAGCTTTGCATAGCTGTAGGCAGTTGAGTATCGGATCTTTTGGTGCAACAAAAACATATGTGTCTGTTAAGGTGACTGGCCTAAAGCAGGTCAAAGTCAGCCCGAGGCGGTCAGTAAAGGTCATTTCTAGGCATTATGAGATCTGATGCGACAAGAGAGTGTTGGACGAAGCTATACTCTTCTGCGATAGTTTTTAGGCAACAAATCAATTGAAGTTTAGAAATGCAACAAATTGCATTGGCGTAGGGTCAGTTATGAAGGTCAGGCTGAGATCAAAACTAATTTGCTTTTTAACTCGATAGTTTGGGTTGTTTGGTAATTTGTGGTGCCCATTTCAGCTAAAGCAATACCAGGGACCGCAATGGAGATGTTCGATGAACTTAAAGGTACGAGTAGGTCACCGACCTAAAATGACCCAGTTCAACATTTGGATTTTGGAACATACCGCCCAGCGTAGTCCTTTATGCTTATTAAAATAATAAAAAAGAAGCAGTCTCGGAGGTTTTGGTCACTTTGACCTAAATATGAAAAGATTACTAACCGTAACTGAAAACCAGTAATCTGGAGCTTCCACCTTGTTTTAGCTTTTCTGAACCCAAGGTCATCATCTAGGAACTTCAAACTTTGACATAAATTAATTCACTTCAAAGCCAGCCCACCCTGTGAATTTGTATCTAGCAGTCTTAGTTTTCGAGATCTAATGGAGTCAAATTGACCTCCCACTCGAGCGAAGGGTATTCAACTGGCCACCCACGCGTGTGAACGCAAGTCACGTTGCGCGCCTACGACTTGCGGGTAAATTAGTGTCATAATCACATTAAAAGCACGTTTGGCCCAGGACCACAGATGCGGTAGAACTCTACTGTCCGAAGGCTATGAGTAACGATAGCCTAAGCGCAACGCTCAATTGGACGCCACTTGCCTGGATCACATGGCTGCTGTGGCGTCACTGAAGATCACGTGGTGGGCTGCCCATCGTTATGCCGATAGAGATCGTCTTACAAGGTCTGTCAGATGCAGTTGGGCCCTTTCATTTGGATGCATTTATGGGAACAGTGCCCAACACTACGGACTGCTCAGTGCGTGAGCTCTGACCCCGCCGCCCGGCCGTAAAAGTCCGGGTCAACGGCGGATTTTGCGGTGAAAGCTAAGGCGTGACGCGTTGCTCGCGCCCGCTACTCTTCTGTCATGCTCTCTACTCTTAGATGCGCCCAGTGCTCTAAAGCAGTCTAGAGGCCTTCACAGATCGGATAAAACGATGAGCACCCAAAGCGAATGCGTAACGGGCTGAGATGGAAGCATATTTTGACGACATTGCCGGTAATGGGGGAAATGCGCGGTACGTGTTTGAGAGCAACACTACATATAATATTACCGTTTGTGTTTCTTTAAGTCGCAAGTAGCCACACTGTACTCATTCGCGCCGCCTTTGAAATTATGAGGACAAAAAGTAAGAATGAATATAAAGCTTCCTGAAATATTGTATAACTAGGACCTAATGCTTTATCAAAATGCAAACGGTTGGGTGGGGGGCGGGTACGGCTAATTATATGAATGGGCAGCGGATAGGTAAGGACCCATGTGCACCCCATGCATGTCAGAGTGATCGAGTGAAGGAAATCCTGTCGTCGAAGAACTCTTCAATCAGCCTTGTGTACTAACCATGACATCGTGCGCGCTTCAGGAATATGCTGACCCTTGAGGGAGCTTTACTGACCCCAAGTAGCCCTTGAGTGGCACCGGAGTGACCATACTGCCTCTTGAGTGGCGTTGATAAGGGGCTCCGATTGCCGGGCTCATTCGCCCAACCCAACGACGAGATCCTGAGGTGGCAGGAAATTTTTGTCGCTATTCGCAAAATGCCACTGATGGTGCCAGGTCAATGTCCGATAGGAAGCTTCTACACTTATATTACAAAGGAATAGTGATGTGTATCCAAACGCATCGCTTACTGACAACCCCTTGACCGTGACAGGAGGTCTCAGCGGCCTGATCCGCATTCGAGCGCCTGGTGGCTCTTGACTTCTTGGAAACATTGCCGATTGCGGTGTGATAATGATAAAATAAGAGCTTCCAGGTGGGCCCAGGCTCTCTAGATTGCTCGAGCAACATTTTGGGGTATTTATAGTGTCCCAGGGACAGCATGATAGCTTGAGAGTCTGTGTCCGATGAAAAATTTGGCCGTCCCGAAAATACATTGAAACGTTACCAGGCATTTCCATGGCGTGGTCAGTTTCCGCATATCTCTGACAATTGAGCCAGGTCATTGTTCTCGAAGAAAAGGTGATGGATCCGGCCTAGTCTGCAGAGCTCTGGAAACGTGGGTGTGAGTTAGGCTACTCTTGAAACTGACCGATTTTACCTGTAATGGGCAGGTGTGTTTGCCACGAAATACAACTAAGCATATTTGCCAGTACGGACGAAACGTGAAGTGAATGGCATGCGTAGACATAACTTGGTCTTAAGGTTGGAGCCAGGCGACACCCTTGAACGCGACCCTGCCCCAGAACGCTCTCTTTTCCCAGGACAGGGGTCGAGAAACAGCTGGCGGACATCGGTCGACGAGCTGAGAAACGATCAGATTAGCAAAACATCACATTGGCAAGAGGTGAGTGGTTCGGTGCTTCTAAAAATGTTTGCCAGCTTAAGTCTGACTGGAACCAGCAAAAGACCCAGAACACGCAACCAGTTTTTCAACCGAAACAAATCGCGGAGACAGGACATCTTACCTCTTCTGCACGTGACTTTCAGTCGAAACGCAGTGATGGACTAAAATCACGTTGTACTGAAAGTCCCACCATGTGGTAGTTGCCTCCCAACGGACCTATGTTAAACCTCGCCAAACGAGGCAATTTTTACACTCTCGCCAAACGACAGGGTCCCCTTCTAAATTGTGAAATAGAACAGATAGATCATCGCGATAAATGCCAGCGTATTTCGCAGAGGCTATCTGAGCATACCCGTGTTTGTTTTGCTCCACGTCGATGTGCCTGTTTCAGGTTACGAAAGCGACCTTTTCAGGTCACATCGGCTGCAATGCAAAATGTTCTTGTCGGTATAATACCCATTTTTCTGCACACATATTTTGCATTTCACTGGTCTAAAACCATTGCTGTATTCATGCGATGCAGTTACACGGCATATAGCTTCATCTTCTCGCACTCTAAAGAATCCGAGCTGTTAGACTTGACCCCGCCACATCCAACATCTCGAAGAAATAAAACTGTTTAAATATGCCGTCCAGTGTTGCCGACTTCGTGAGCTTTTCAACTGGATTCAATTGGATCTTTTGTGGTGTTCGGAATGCGGTTCATTATCATCTGACCGCGCAGTCAGCTGTCCCACCTTTTGAGTACACCGTCGCACGATTGATTTACATGGCATTCGCCTTCGTTTTGCGACTTATAGCACTCTGTGCATGTATAGAATCCAGCTAGAGCTGATTCTACACCTGAGTATCAAAACATCTCAATCTGAAACATAAATTTCTGCCTCAAAAGAAGTATGTTGCTCAAACTTCGGAGGCATCGCATGAATGAGCCCCTTCTGGTATGCTGAAACTTCCATCTGTGGTGATCATTGTTTGAAAGCCCAAGGGTGTTTTATTGCGTTCTTTGAAAGGATTTTGATGTCCACGCAATCGTCCGTTAAACCGCAGGCGACGTGAATTCCCAATGCGCTGTCACACGGAAAACTGACGTATTAAATTCACTCAAGAGGAAAGACTTGCTAGCTTTGGCTGGTTAAATGTGCTAGGCCAAGAAGCTATTGCCATAGGATCTCGGAATATGTTGACGGCCATCTGATGACGTGAGCAGCCGACGTTTGTCTAGCTGCAGAAGTAGCTCCAGTTGCGATCTAATATTTAAACGTTTGGGAGTTTTAGGCTCTGAGACCCCATTTTCCAAGTTTTGGTCAAGGACCCACTGAGGTTCGGGACCCACTCCCAAACACGGCCAGGGATCTCTCAGGGTCACGAATAATCCCTTCCTAAATTCTGACCAAGGACCTTTTGAGATGCAGAAGATTTGCTCAGACTTCTTGAAACTTTTCTGTGAGCTCTACGACCTATTCATTGAATCCAGGTACGGTTCCCTAGTTTGGTTGCAAACATCTATTCTCAAGCGCCCATTAACTCTAGAGCGGGGATGGTCTAATGCTTACAACACGATATATGGCGTGCGGTTTCACTCGCTTTGGTCGTTGAAGGCTGAGGCCGAATTAACATAGCCGCAGCAGCCGCATATAACAATAGTTGCTAAATAAAACAGTACTCATGGCCGTATTCCTCGGAGAAAAACCAGGAGAATGGGGGATATAGACGTGTTGATATTTCAGCGACATGCCTTTATCGAAAAGAATAGCAGAAGTCTATTACTACTAAGTAGAAGGAATAAAAGAAGCCTCGACAACAGCATGCTGGTGAAACATCAACGCATCCTATATCTCTATTCTCCTGATCTCTGTCCCAGTAATAAGGCTCTAAGTACTGTATTATGCAGCGCATAATGTTCCACGCAAATGCAGTTAACAACTTACGTTACAGTTGTTGCCACATATGTCCCAGTCACTCAATTCCCTGGGGCGCTGCCCCCACCACATGACTGTGCTTTGCTCGCCACTGTCTGCTGTTGAAGCTGCCAGATAAGCCTGGACGTCTGGTGCCGCGCTACAAGCCGCCGGCTCGAGTCATCGCGTCAACAGCGAACCAGTCAGGCCAGCCCCCAGTGCTTGGCCTCGTCATATCCCCCAGCACCTGCGGCACCTCCGGCAGACTGGACGCCCGCCTGAGCAGTCCAGTGCACTCTGTGTTACGGTCCACCCGTAACAATGCTGCTCCTCTTCGCCCTCATCTGCGCTGCCACGCTCGGTAAGACGAAATCTATGGGTGCAAGGAAACAGTTCGCGTTTCATTTCGTGAGAAATTCGTAGCCGTCGTTCTTCCGCGCGACTGATTTGCCCTCCACCTTTCCTTGGTTTCCTGCTCTCCCTTTGGCAAATAGCCCTCAAATCACGATTTGTATGCTGGTCTTTTTCTTCATGTCTCTATGCTCTCTGCATGCCTCCCTTCCTACAAGATGTTTCTACAGCAATAAATATGCATAAATATATATATATATATATATATATATATATATATATATATATATATATATATATATATATACTAAGGCATTTCAGGAGCGGGTGTTCTCTTAAACATTGCTCATTGCACACCACAGCATATTTTGTGGTTATGACCTTCATGGTTCTTTGTTTTAGGCTTTGTATGCTGCGTTCGTCGTTTTCGGTGTATCGATGCATAATGTTGTCAAATTCCATCTCTTTGTTCAACGTCTTTATCAGTTCCATTATCATTTTGAAGATAAATATTGCACTTCAAGCATGCATTCACAAGCACGACGCATATACAAAAGCTTGATTTGATAAGGCAGTAGTAATAGCATCATTCCTTAAAAAACAGGAGAATGGATATATAGATGGGTTGATATTTCGGCAACGTGCCTTTATCGAAATAATAATAGAATTTCTCAAACTTCTGCGATTGTTTTGATAAAGGCAAGTTTTCGAAATATCAACCCATATATATATCCAGTCTCCTGGTTTTTCTTCGAGGAAAAGAAAACATATGTTACTACTGTCTTATCTATGCGAACACTATTCCTCGCAAATTCACTGAACACTTTACGTAAAAGTTTGGTTTTATCCAAGGCCATGTAGTAAGATATGATCATCCGGGGATTTTTCCGGCACTTTCCTTTCACAATTACTGTGACGTCACAAAGTCGCAGCCTGGCATCACCTCTCCGCCTGCATTATCTTCGCGTCTGCTACACCGGTGCACCTACTAACAAATGCATCTGATGATAGCCACAGGGTGCTGAAAGAAGTTTTATCAGGAAATACGAACGGGTGTGTTTTTTGCCACGTTGCGTGCATAACAGCTAACATAGGCCTAGGAACCGAGAGCCTGTGTGCCGTGGCACTCCCACTTGCTGAGGATACCAAACATTGAGTCTATGGCGATGTATTGAATTTGGCCCGCCCACAGCTTAAATGCAGGCTGGCGAGCCTGCCCAAGGTCCAGCCACTGCCAAGAGGGGGAACTGACCGGCACCAGAATCATCATCTGGACTACCGCGCTGAACCTCAGCACTATTTATAATGACGCGCCGGGCTGCACCGGTGTGTGATGGAGGCAGTTTGAGACGACGGAAGTGGTGTGCTACCTGGTAGAACATAGGACATTGTGAACATTGCACATTGCATCAACTATGACACGAAGCCTCCGAAGGTCGTGGCGCGTGGCGTTAATCAAGAAAATATCCGTTACGCCATGCAGCCAGTTCATCGAACACGCGTATGATTCATAATTCACTGTGTTTTACTAAAACTATTCTTGCGCCCAGCATACACTTCATTGTGCACACTTGGCGAGGACACAGAGCAAACAGGGAGAGGTGGGGGGAAGGGGCGGAGAACACAAGTATATATTTGCAGCTTAAATATAGGGTTATACGACATGATAACCAGTCTGAAACAACCCAAACGTTTATCTGCGTAGGAACCGTCTATGCCTCAAACAGACACACAAGCATGCAAGACAAAGATGGCATGACGATGCTCACTTAAAGTCACTTACGTGTGTTCACATAAGCACAACGATGCTCACTTAACGCTGTCCACCTGATGTCGCACCTGTTTGGCTGCGCGCCTGGCAGCAGCCCGCTCAGCCCCAGCCTGATTAAGCCATCCGAGGCGCGGATGGATGTGTGTTATCACCAGCTACCGAGCAATCCGCTTGTCCAGCGCAGAACTTTCTCAGCAGGAGCTTTGTGAGCCGGTCGACGATACCAATGTCTCAGTCTATGCCTCGACCCATCACCAGCTGGAACACGATCTTGAAAACCTCGACAACGCTCGTCCAGGTCGACAACGGTGCCATGAGACCTTATTGGCTAATCGCGTAAATCCACCTGTCTGGTACACAGCTGGGTGGTGCCTCTCGGGTCGACAGCTCCATACTTGGATCGAGGTGTTTTCACTTTGCACCGCCACGAAGCAGGCAACGAGGGTCAGCGCCCCGTGCTGGATGTTGACCTCGTCTATCTCGTCGCCGCAGCGGGGGCCATTTTCGGTCCTCTCGCCGTCACCGCCATGGAGCATGTCTTCGCCCGACTCGTTGACCCCGTCGTCCTTACCGAACCCGTTCGGGCGGGCACTGGAGGCCTCACGACTGTTTGCTAGTAGGCGGCTTCCGCGTTGTCCGCATGCTCTGCGACTTCCACCACAGCTGGATCTTAGATCTGCGACATAACGAAACACAGTCATTTCCGTGTACCTAACAGGCACATTAATCAGACCGTATTACAAGTCACCAGCGTTGTTTCTCATTGCGACAGCAAAACGTGTTAGACCCGGACCCTTTTTGGGGTTATCGCATGCTTGTTTTCATTCACAACTACTTTTTTGTGGTCCAGCGTGACATAATCCGAGCGGGTAAGAGGGTCGGCCAACGACCGACGAGTACTGCACTGCGTGTTCCATTCTCATATCTACCGCTCCTGGCCATAGCCACGGATTTGTCTAGATGGTCCCGTTTCATGGTCTATTTCAGTGCATCGGTTTCCCCAGGGGAGTGGCGCCGCCATTACTGTTTTCCGACGACAAATATACGAGAACAGCGCGGCCCTCCGAGCCCCCCCCCCCTCCATTTGTCTCTGCACGTGAGGTTCAAGGTCTATGGTTTAGGCATATCAGCATTTTTTGACCATGATATTACTGTATGTAATCCCGAACTTTGGTGACCAGGCAAATAGCTTTTGTTTGAAATCTCAAACACTAGCATGGACAGTGACACGAAGAGTCCAAAAGTAGTTCATTAATAATAAGGTTCGCATACAGGCGGGCGAACATGTACGGCACGCAGCTGAAAGAAATGTTCAAGGCACCAGGGCAAACCAATATTGGTATCTCATTGATGCGCTCGGCGTTGTATTTATTAGCGGTTGGGAGGTTTGTTAGTCAGTTCACAGTGCAAAGATGTGTTGTCAATGGGGCTGGGACTCGCTCGTGCAAACTTGCCCTCCCCCGCCGCTAACCCTGGCTCCGCCCCTGACACTCACCCCCTCCCCAGTGTAGCACAGATGGCTGTGCCACTTGTGTGGTAGTCAGGTCCCACTTTGTTAGCAAGATTATGGTTGGAAAGTCTCGTTTGGATCTCGTACTGTAGTCTACAAACTGCACAGAGGGGCATAGATTGCGCATGCATTAAACTGTAAATCGGGTTGAAAGATATCTGCATAAAACAGACAGTAATCTTCATTTTTTAAGCACACACACATACTCACTACGGCGTGCCGGCGATGTCCGGTTGCATGGAAGGAACTGCACCTGATCGAAGGCCTTTAACATTGGGCTTGAGACTGGTCTTAACCAGATGGCCAGGATCAGTCATGATCTTGAAAATGATCAGATCAGATTACCGCACTCTCCACATTTACAGCTAGTCCAAGAGCAGCGATGCACCCATGTTTTCATGATAGTTGGATCGTTTTTTAGAGGTGTGAAAAACTTAAGTGCCTTCATTGCGCCGTTTAACATTCTTGCAAGAGGCTACCTCACAGGATGGCATCTTGCTGCCAAAAAACCGCCTTTGGTGCTCACTCTTGCCCAATGCTCGTACTCCACTTTGAATTTCTCCCACCCGCGACATAATAGCACGCACCGAGGCCACATAACAATATAAACTTGGTGCCACGCCGCACGATAATAGACAATACCGACCACAGCATTTCTGCGTGACTGCTGTTTTCCGAACGACGCAGTCGACGTTGCCATGCAACACCGCTGCTCAAGCCAGTGCGACTTTGTGACGTCACCGCCTAACGTTAAGGATCCGCCCGCCTGACCAATTCCCCAAGCTGTGATGATGGCCCCCTGGTTTTATCGTATTCCCACAAAATACAATGTCGAGGCACTTGAAAACAATAATGACATGCTGCATGCTGGAATTCTAGATGCACTTCTGATGGTTGAAAGTTTTACGTTCTCACCAATCAAGTTAAAAGGCTACCAGTCCGGCAGGTTTGCATTAGGAGGGAGGGGCGTGTCCTATCAGTTACGTGTAGAGTGGTAGTTTTGAGAGTTGTTTGTTTTGTATGTTGATGATGGGTGCCATGCCCCTGATGCATAGTGTTTCAAATGAGGCGAGGCGTCTACGGTCTATGGAATAGTGTGGTTAAGACGTAGAAATCATGCCTCATTATCGTCATAACACATGGAAATTGTTACAACAATGCTACGACTCCCATCTAACTAAGCGATTTTTTTTAATTCGTCACACTAATTCTTATGTATTCTGCCCCATCGCAGGTTATGGCATATTTCGTGGCAGGGTATGCTATAGCATTTATTCAAATAATGTGTTGTAATGAACCGGGTTTAGCCAGCGCACATTGTAACGAACAGAAGATCTGAAAAGCCACGCTGGGGATGGATTCAAGCAAATACAAATAGAAATTAATATTTGAAGTCAGTCAGCATTAAAAGCTACCCTGGATAATGTGTTTCTTAAATTAAAAAAGTGATCGACACCAATGTCGGTGATCTTGCCTAGCCATGGATTCAAAACAAAATATCTGTTGACATCCTTGCGATCGAAGATCTTCAAATAAGCGCCACAGAATATCTTTGTCAGGCATATTTGAATCAGAAAGGCATTTGGTGTGGCCTCAAGTAAAACCTTAAGCCCAGCTTTATACTTGACGAAAAATCAAAGGGTTTCACATTCGTATGGTTTTTTAACTGAAGTAGTCAAACGAGACCTGATGGGATCAGATGGCACGGGACTAGACTGAACCGGACGGGATCTGACGGAACCACGCGTGACCAGATGCGATCCGACAGCATCAAACGTCAACGGACGAGTCGAAAGAAACCGGACGGGAGAAAACGGGATCAGACGTAACCACACGGAACTAGGCAAAACCGAATGGAACCGGACGGAACAGGACAAGCTCAGGCGGGACCGAACGGAGCGCGAGGCTGTCGGGCGGGGCAGGGCCGGGCCAGACCAATTTCAGCTCGGACTTCGGAGAAAGCTGTCACCTAAGGTCCTAGATATGACGCCAAAAAGGGTCTCAGCTGTTTCGCAACATCAGCTGGCTCCCGTTGGCTGCGCGGCGGCGCGCGGCTCCGGTCACCCTGACGTTTCACGCTGGTGAGAGGTAGGGGGGCGGGGCACGTACGGCGGCCGTGGCACAGCGGACGTTGTTGTGCGACTGCGTCGGCAGTAAGTCCGCGCGTGCGTTATGAAACCCCAAACACACCAACATGGTTGACCTATTTAAAACACAAAACTATCGTGCTTGATATCAGCTAGGAAGGTTTTAAGCTTCTAGCTATTCTACTAGTGGCGTAGATGCTTAAAATGTGTTGGAAGAGAGGAGGGGCAGAGCAGTGGGAAAGGGCTCAACCTATTTTAAAAATGCCAACCAAGAGGGGTTTTAGCCGAATTCGGGCTACTTTCTTCCCACAGTTGAGGGTGGCGGGGGACATCCCCCGGTCCAGCTCATCCCTGCACGCCCATGTCTCACGTCACATGTCTATCAAACCTTGTCAAGTCTTCCCCTACCCATGCCTCGTCATAACTTAATTGACTGCAGGAGGGGAATTCTGTTCAGCATTGAATAAAGCCAACAACAGTCGCCGAGCACTTAGACTTGCATTTCCTACTAATCAACGACATGTGTCAGAGCAGGAGCGCCACAATGCCGCCGCCTTCTTGAAAAGCGCCGCACCGGTGTAACAAATTTCCTGCCAGTAACGCTGACGCTTGTTGCAGGCCACGCGCGGACGGGCACCTGTGACCGCCCCTGGAGGTATCTCGTCAGTTTCCAGAGCGCTCGGGTCTACGTATGGCCCGGGGAGGAGGTGGACCTCTACTGCCGTCCGCCGACGGACGACGGCTGCCTCTGGGTGAATGGTGAACAAGTCCTAGGCAACGCCTGCCATCTGTCGACGACTCGAAGAGGCCCAATCAAATGCATGCGAGGAGATGAAGTCATGGGGATGATTCATCTGATAGAACCTGCGTCACAGGACGTCGAGGGAACGGATCTCATCTATGCCTATGACTATTATGATTTTCATAACCTGCGGTACGTCAGTGACTCCACGGAAGCTGTATTGCGCACCGTGCGTGAACGAACCTTTCTGTGCTCGGACACAGGAAAGATTATCGGGAAGTCCTGGCTTTGTGACGGAACTAGGCACTGTATCAACGGAGAGGACGAGCAAGACTGTAACCCAATGTGCGGCACACCAAACCTCAGAAAACACAGCAATCTGACAACACCCGATGCATATGTATACCCACCAGGCGCTCAGGCAGAATATACCTGCGAAAAAGGGTTTGGCTTCCTGGACTCGCTCAACTGGTTCCGCAGGACATGCCATAAGGGTCAGTGGAGCGGCGAGCCTCCCATTTGCCACAAGAACGTCGCCTTTAACCGGCCGGTGACCATCAAAGGGAAGGTGATCGGCGGAAGTTGCCTGGAGGTGGTCAATGACGGGACATTTGACAACTGGTGTGTGTTGATGCCCACCGCGCAGCCGTCGTCCGTCAGTGTGCAGCTCGCCACCAATGCGTCCGTCAATCAGGTACTGGTCAGGTCTCCGGACCAGCGGTATCAGGTGTCCCTGCGGGACGCGGACGAAACCAGAGCCCCGGTAGCGTGCAGCTGCGCTTCGAGCCCCGTCGCCTCGTCAAACCCGAGTTTGTCCGGGCTGGCCGTCTGTTCTTGTCCGACCGGCGATCTTCCCGGCCCGGCGAGCATCGTCGTCAGCAAAGAGCGATCCACATTCATGTCGCTCTCCGTCGCCGAGATAGCCGCGTTCGCGGAGCGCGCACTGGACGAGGCCGGCGACAGCGGCGATTGTGCTTACCTCGACCAACCGGCATACGGCAGCTATGAACCTGTGGACGACGGCAGGGTGCGCTTGGTCTGCCAGCCCGGCTACCGCGCCAACTGCACTGACGTCACGCCGTGTCGAGCCGTCGCCAGCGGCGCCGTCCGGCTCAGCTGCCGGCCGCTGACCTGCCCGCCGCCTCCGGTCATCCCGCACGCCGTCGTGCGGGCGGAGAACGGCACGGCGTGGATGGCCATGACCGAGTACGCCTGCGCCGCCGGCTACCAGCTGTACCCGCCCGAGCAGCGGACGACGGCCGTCTGCGAAGACGGCCTCTGGTCACTCAGTCACATTGTTTGCCTGCCTGAGACGGAACATCCGCGTGGTGGCGCTGCGCATGAGCCAGCAGCACGAGCGCAGCGTGAGCGAGCTACGCCGAGAGCTGGAGGCACTGCTCTCCGGGCAGCAGCAGTTGCTGCAGCAACTAAACGAGACCCAGCTGCAGTTGAGCGACACCCAGAGACGGCTGCAGAGACTGGAGGATGAATCTGGAATTGGGCAGCATGATTCTGAAATCAAGATTCAGCAGCTGGCTGACGAGAATTGGCCCCAGCAGCCGAATGAAGAAACTTAGCTTGAACAGCTGGATGAGGAAACTCAGCAGCTGACCGAGCCTCCGCGGTTCGATGTGCCGGTGGAGCTTGAATAGGTGGTCTCCGAGGGAACGACGGCCCTACCGAGCCTCCGCGGTTCGGTGTGCCGGTGGAGCTTGAATAGGTGGTCTCCGAGGGAACGACAGCCCTACCGAGCCTCCGCGGTTCGGTGTGCCGGTGGAGCTTGAATAGGTGGTCTCTGAGGGAACGACAGCCCTACCGAGCCTCCGCGGTTCGGTGTGCCGGTGGAGCTTGAATAGGTGGTCTCTGAGGGAACGACAGCCCTACCGAGCCTCCGCGGTTCGGTGTGCCGGTGGAGCTGAATAGGGGTCTCGAGGGAACGACAAGCCTACCGAGCCTCCGCGGTTCGGTGTGCCGGTGGAGCTTGAAAGGTGGTCTCTGAGGGCACGACACAGCCTACCGAGCCTCCGCGGTTCGATGTGCCGGTGGAGCTTGAATAGGTGGTCTCTGAGGGCACGACAGCCCTACCGAGCCTCCGCGGTTCGGTGTGCCGGTGGAGCTTGAATAGGTGGTCTCCGAGGGAACGACAGCCCTACCGAGCCTCCGCGGTTCGATGTGCCGGTGGAGCTTGAATAGGTGGTCTCCGAGGGAACGACAGCCCTACCGAGCCTCCGCGGTTCGGTGTGCCGGTGGAGCTTGAATAGGTGGTCTCCGAGAGCACGACGGCCCTTTTGACGGTTCAATGTTAACGGAGCTTCACAAGCTGGTTGGGCCCCTAGCGTTCTTGAAGGAACTCATGCTTTTGCATTGGGATTTGATAGTCTTAGCTGATGTGAGACTTGGTGAGGGGGGTACATATTATCGAGCACTTCTCCCAAAAACGCTTTTTAACTCATGACAACTAATTTGCTTGTGACAGCTAACAGCAGCCTAAACGACACCTGACAAGTGGCGACAACATGCAACGGCTGTGCATTTAACAATCTTTAACGACTTTGTTAATAGTCGAGAATTAAAAATTGTATTTTGAGGCGGAGACGTAGAAATGACAACATTATCCACAGACTCATGTCATATTAACTTAGGCCCTCCTCTTAACGTCGCTATTTCAGATCTGAAACCTCACCTTGAGAAGAATGAGAGGCAAGTAGCGGTATAGCATTGACAATGGTTTGGTCCAGAGCTTTATACAGCCCCGGACAATGCAGCATAGTCAAATTGCTTTAATATTCCAATTATTCGTCGGCGTGTGGTAAGCATCTGACTGTTGTGATATCCAATAAAGTGACTTAGGAACGTACGTCTTCCCGTCTGTCTCTTGGCGGTGGCACTCGGTGGCGGCATTGGTTGTGGTACTACCGGCGCCAAAGACGCCGTCTTTTCACTCCGCGAATCCAGCGAGAGCCACTTGTCTGATCTTATGAATGGAGTCATGCGACTGAGTGATGTGTCCGGTCTTGGCATAACCAGCTGGTCACGTCAAAACGGAGCGAATTCAAGCATCGTATTTCCACACTAACCGCGCGTGAGCCAGAGGGTGTGCAGAACCACGTCGTAACTTGGTAGGATGTAACGTGAGCGCGCGGGGCGCGGAACTATTGATTGGACACAATTTTCTAGTGGTGAAATTGTATCGCCTTTGAAACTTTTCAACCCGAATTTCACGGGCGATGGAAATTCGAGTGATCGGGGTCAGTCCAACATGGCGTACGGTCCGAGACTTTTATCTCAACAAAAATGGGTGGAAGCGACGCGAAAACGCGTGAAATGTGTTTCCATAGGAAATTCAACCAGCAATTGCCTTGTGCCAGGCGTTTGGTCATAGGTTTCACGTGCAACGCGCACAACAGCGGCCTAAAAAGTCCAGCTTTTGACAGATTTCATGTTTTTTCCATATATCCGAGGCAGGTGCAGGGCGTGAATCTAACTTTAAACCCACTTCAAGACATTGCAGGCGGGGATGTGAATCTAACTTCAGAGGGTCCTCCAATGCGCTGTCTGCAGTCCCGGTTGACAGCACAACTTCGTGCGCGGCACGTTTGCATCAAGAATCGTTGGGCAAATCGGAAATGACGGCATGTCAGCCGCGCCCATAGTACATGGTGGTTAGTTGTGTTTGCTTTTGCAGCAGGAGACTCAACGACCAAGCCATGATTTTAGCCGCACTAACACGCGCCCGGGTGGCCGGTTGGATGCCCTTCGTTCGGTTGGGGGTTAATTTGAGCCTACTGAGATCTCAGAAACTAATGTTGAAATGTATGTGAACTCGCTTAGGCGAAAGTTTGAAGTCATGACTTAGGGTCATGACTTAGGTCATGGTCATGGTCATGGTCTTAGGCCATGACTTTTGGGTCAAATCAGGTCGAACAAGGTCAAACTCCAGGTCGGTCTCCAAAGGGACCCCAGAACCTAGATACCCGTTCTAACCAAAAGGTCAGATGCTCGTCTAAGGTCAGTGACCTTGTTTGACCTTTTAAAAGTCATGGTGACCAAAATCACACAAGACCGAGCTGAGTTTGGCATTTGAATAAACCACAAAGATTGCGTCATGCAGTATGCTCCTAAAAACGAAATGATGACCCGCCTCATTCTAGGTCAGTGACCTTTTCTGACCTTTAAGAAGTCCATGGAACGTCTATGGTGTAATTTGTTCATTCAATTGTAATGCTCCCTAAGAAGGTATCTTAAGGATGTATGGCTTCATCTTACACTCCGTTTCTGGATCAGATTGAACGATTCCCTAGAAATTGCCTTCGCTGAAACCATGGCCTGACTTCGACCTGCTATAGGTCAGTGACCTTACAAGGTTGGTCTAAAACTTGAGGCGATCCACAATTGAATTGTCTGCAGCTATGCAAAATTTGGCGCGGCTGCACCGCACCGTTCAGAAACCATTCTGGAAAAACCTTTCGGGGGTCAAATTGACCCCCCCCCCCGCCCCGAGCGCGAGTTGAGAAAATGCGCCCCTCACTGTCCGCGGAGGCCTTTCGTCATAATCCTATGGCCGCGTTCGATCTGTCATCAGCACGTTTGCCAGCACCAATCACAGCACAGTTCTCCCCCTATGCACGTAACGTGACCACAAAGTCACGTGGTCTGTGACGTCACGCGCCGGCTGACGATGCCAGGATTTGTGGTCATCCCGCCAGCATAAAAAGCAAGCGCTGCCAAATTGAGAAATCAGCCTGCCAAAGAAACGGGAGTTTTATTTGGTAGCTCTTGCGTCGGTGGGTACGTTAGGTGGGGGTGAAGACACTTATCCAATTCTGGGATACTACTGGGATAGCTGAGAAAGGAAGTGACCTGTCAAGAATAGCCGTGAAAAGGCGGGTGACACTGATTGTTGTGGTGTGAAGTTGCGTGCCCGTCCTTCCCACCAGGCTGACAGGCAGGCGACGCCGTTTAGCCCCAGCAGCTGATTGCGTCGTGAAGCCCCAGTGACGACAACGTGTGTGGCTGCGTTCCTCAGTGAATGAAAAACAGCGCTGCAGTAATCATAACAGATGGAGAACAGGAATGAAACGTTTCGCGTCTCGAACATAGGCTTTGTCAGTAAAAGTGGGAGTTCAATGAAACGATGGACTTCATGCCAGCAGTGAAGGGTCGATAAACCTTTTGCACGACAAATTGAGCGAACATTTAAAATGAGAAAGGAAGAAATTCAAATAAGATGGAAATGGGAAGAAGGATGGGATAAATGGTGGTAATACCGCAGCAGGAGCCATACCTCCCAACACCACTTTATATGTTGTGTGTTATGGTCGGCGGTAAGCGAGTTAGCATGTAGTCTCAAGTAGTGAAAGGCTGACGGAAAACAGGAAGGCAAAGTAGAAAACTTTCCCGTCTGCCCACGCATGGAACGCTCCGTCAGCACGCGTGACGTCACGCGTTCGGGCTGACAATCTTGCTGAGGACAGATCGAACTGGGCTTATTGTGGTGGCTGGATCACTGGAGAGGTGTCGTGTTGACCCGACCGACCCACCGGGAAGGCCGCCACGCTGAGCCCTTTGACCCCTCCGCTGACCACGCGAACATTGGTGTTGATTTCTCAATGTGGGTCGGTGGGGGGGGGGGGGGCGGCAAGAGTCGTTGAAGTTAGCGAAAGGGGTGAGTTCGAAAAAACTCCGGTTCGCCATTTTACAGCTCGGTTATGCACTCTGTTAAGGTGCGTAATGCCACATACATTAAGAGCTGTAAAGCCGATGTGCGTATCGCTCGTATTTAAATGCCGAGCCATTTGAGCGTAACCGCCTGAAACTAGACCATGGGCATGGTGCAGACACTCTAAAGCTACTGCCTGCCGGAAGTTTTATGCGTGTTACCACGCGCAGGTGCGAAGTTAACAGCAGGTCCAATCGGTCAAACAGATCCGAAAAATCATGACCAGCTACCGAAATGGGAAGCAACGGAACAGTAACCGTGGAGATTGCAAGAAATGTCACGCACAAAATACGAATCCCACAAATTTTAGCTGAAAAACTGGGGCCCAGTAGGACGGAGACAGCTGACAGTTGCCATCCGGCGGTCACTACCAATAATCCAAAATAAGATTCGAGTAATTTTTTGCAGCCTGTCTCTGTGCGCAAACTTGTGCAAACCTTTCCACCGACAGCACTGCGACTTTGTCAACCGCCGGCATAGTGCTAGGCATGTTCCGGCGTGGCGCCTGGGATCTGTCACGCCGTGGCCATACATATTTTTTAAAGAAATGTCTTTCTTCCATGCCATATTAGCCAACGAAGTGTCACCTTTACGCCCAAGCGCCTGAGATGTTGACCAAATTTCGTAAGTTGGGTTTGCTCCAGCCCTCAACACAATTCTGAGAAAATTAGGGCAGCTGTAGCTACCGTCTTTGAGTAACAGACGTTTTCTTATTGCTCTTGGTTTGAAGAAGGTACCTCTAAACGACCTCATCTTGGAAAGCGTTAACCATAGACGTAAAATTCAACAACGAGCGATAAGCTTTAAGCGCAGATGCATTTGAAGCTGTTTCAGTATCAGCACCAGTACCACAAGTACCACTATGTTAAAAATATAGCATATGCATGCAAACATTACAAGCCGCAATTTAGAAACTCGATTAGTGCAAACATGACTGTTCAGGATTTGAAATTAGCACGATTTCTTCGCTGAAGTTTGACTTAAGAGGTCGTTAAAAAGTGGTGAGCAATTTCATAACGTATCATCAAGCAAGCACCAAATCGGGCCTACCTCGCGCGTCAGTCGGCGCCTCTCCCCGAATCCCCCTCCCCCGGTGTCGGGTGTCTGGCACGGTTCTACAAAGTCCTGAGAAGATTTGTCGCTATTAAACGGAGTATCCAGCCTTTGGGACATATTTTATAAGCATGCTCTGGTGAAAACTCGGGACTACTTAGGCTAAAAATAGCACTGGTTCGTACCACTGAAGCACCACCAAAACACAATAGCGATAGAAATTTCAATGATTTTCTAGCACAAATTACGCTGGCAACGCTCTGTAACACATTGCACCTTATGCCTTGGCAACTGCAGTTATTGCGACCGTCGTCGTCACGAAAAACGCCGTCGCCATCAAGACTGAAAGATCTGCTAAGGGCCGTTCTCAGCTATTAAGGTTAGAGGTACCATTTCTGAGCTGTTTCAACACACCCGTTGCGGGCGTGTGGACTCGTAATACGGCACATTTACTGCTGTGCATGACGTCAATACAAATAAACGTTTGTGATCGGCACAGCGGGTGGTAGGGACCAGTTACTTAGAAGCATATTGGTTGAAGTTTGAACCAGTGTGTCATTATGGACCGTCAGAAACTCGCCTCGAAAAGAGCCACCGTGGTAAATGCCGTAGGGTAGAAATAAAGGGCGTAGTGTAACGTTTCGTTGCATTCGCGGGAAAACTCTTCATGTTTGCTTGTTCTGTACACAGTGGATCAAGTTTTTGTGGCATTTACTACGCAAGCATTTTGACGAATTACTGTATTGCAAGCATTACGTAACACACCCGTTGGAAAAGCAAGGCAAGTAAAATGCATCGTTTTCATAGTGGTAGGAGGGAGCCCCCATGAGATTTATACAGCTGGAACGGCTACTTCAAATGAAAATTGCTAGCTTTTCAGGATTAAGAGGCAAATTGGCATTACTGATCACATCGAACACGTCTGATCAAACAATAAGTGAATAGGACGAAAAGGTAACAGTCCTTAATGTGTTTTATCATTATAAGTAGTATGTATGTAACAGCAAAACAATATCGAACCGTTTGCGGTTCCTGTACTGGAGAACATAGCAGAACACAAAGCCACGGATCAAAAGAG